GAGGTAAACCAAAGTTTTCTGATTGCTAGGTTAGTAATCTTGCTAGGCCTGTAACTGGAGGAGGGAAGCCACCGAATACAATGTTTCACAGTTCAGCTTTGGGTTCCTCTTGGAATTTGTGTACACATGGTTAAGAGAAGGCAAAGCTACGTGAGGGCAGCTTCTATTGCATGCATGGCTTTTTATCCCTAGCACTTAGCACATTGCCTAGAACATCAAAGATCAAAGCATTTATAGAATTGTTGAATTCATCATTTTAAGATGTAGCTCATCTCATATTCAAAGATTTCATGGAGTGGAAATAGTACAGCATATGAAAGCTACATGGTACTGCTGAGATCAAGTTCAAGCCCCTCATTTTACAGATGACGAAACCAAGGACCAGAGAAATTACCAGACTTGTGGAAGGAAGGCAAAGGGCAAAGCTATAATTGGTGGAATTGGGACTTGAATCCAGGCTTCCTAGTAAGTCCAGTATTCTTTTCACTGCACTAGCTCTTGGTGAACAAAACTCACATTTTCAACAATCCATATCTAAGTTATCTTCCCTTCACTCTTCGTGTAGAGTTGAGTTCTAGAATTATTAACACAATTTTAAACAATCTTGCAATGAGAATCTCTTAAACCCCTTGAACATCTTTTATTCTTTTAAAATGTTAATGACACCTTTTTTTAAATACACATTTCTAGGTGGTATTGCTCCTACCCCCAATAGAACTCTCTCTTATTACAGAGTCTTTATCCAAATTACTGATTAAAAAAAATTAAATATAGCCCAGAATCAAGCACAGACTCATTAATGAATCCTCTTTGGATCCAGCCATTCCACCAGTTATTTCATCTAACTGTGCTATCATCTAACCCACATCTTTCCATCTTTTCTACAAGAACATACAAGACTTTGTCAAATATTTTGCTAACCTTCAGGAAACTATAGCTTTAGCCAATTCCCTTGATTTTCCAGGCAAAAAAGGAAGTAAGGACAGTCTGGCAGACCTATGCTTGATGAAGCAATGTTGTGAATACATTCTTTTCTAGATGTTCACTAACTATCCCTTGAATAACACTTTCTAAAACTCTGTCAGCAATGAAAATCAAGCTCATTAGCCCATGGGGTCTGTAGACTTCACTTCTTTGTGAAAATAGGGACATCTGCTCACCTTCATTCCTAAGGGACCTCTTCTTCAAGGATTACTAATAGTGACTGACCAATCCTATTTGTCACTTCTTTCAGAAAAACAGATGCAATTTATCTGGGCTTGCATAAAAACATTCCGGACAAGATAAGGTCTCCTGAAAGGAAAAGCTTTACTAACAACCAGATTTCCTGAATTTCACACAGGTCACTACTGTCTATAGACCTATAATGAAAAGTATATCATGATCAAGCAATAAACATTAAAATGAACTTCACCTTGACACATGAAAACCTCTTATATGTGTGGCCTCCCCATTTTAGAACATGAGTTTTCCCTATACCAGGGACTGTGTCCATTTCCCTATTTCTATCTCCAGAACTTAACACAGTGCTTTGTAAATATTAAGTGCTTAATAAATGCTTTTTCATTCACTCATTCATCTTTAGTCTGATTCTAACAAAGGAGTTCTCAACTTTCTGTTGGTCAATCTGGTGAAACCTATGACTCTCTTCTCAGAATAATGTTTTTAAATGCATAAAATACATAGGACTACAAAGAAAACCAATTGAAATATAGTTATCAAAATATTTTTTAAAAGGAAAAAAGTTCATGAGCACCAAGGTTAAGAACTCCTATCAGGATAGACATGCTGAAAACAAAGTTGAGGTAAAATAGACACAGAGAAAAACTAATTGAGCATCAGATTTTTAAAATGCATTTCTTAAATGACAGTTAAAGAAATAAAAACTATTTTATGATCAAGCTTTGTGATATAATTGTTATTTAATAGTATTATTTCCAACATTTGACTGGCTTCATTTGTTTCAGGTTTTGCATTCTTCAATTAATTAAATTTTCTGAAGGATGGATGGTATTTTCGATGTCATTCCAGAAATCAAAGAGACTTCAACTGTCGCTGCTTGTGTCTTGGATTTGTTTCACAATACACAAACCATCGTCCACGCCTTTTCACAAAATAACAGTTCTTACATCGTTTCTTTAGAACAGCTTTTGTTTTGAACCCAAGAGCAGGTTGAAAGGATGGAAGCAGGTAACGTGAAAGAAATGGCTGAATTTTTGAGCTATACTTCATGGGATTTGCATCTATGGGAACTGTACTTTGTCGTGAGGCAAAGAGGAATGCAGAGATTGAGGAAGGTTTTGCCAAACACCTGCTCATTTGGAAAAGAGGACTGCTGATGGTAAACATCATTTTCTTTACAAACAGAGATGCCATGTTTTAGCCAAACCTGGGGGAAGAAGAAAAAAGATTTTTTATTTCCCCTTTATTTGATACTATTTACAACCTTTCGCCCATTTTATTCAATGCTTTCATGGCTCAAAGCTTAGAAAAGGTAGTCAACATATCTACAACTATTATCAAACCCCCAGGAGAATTATAATAAAACCCAGAGGTCATTCAGAGTCTTTGGTAGAAAATGGACATTATTAGAAATGATGATACTAAGGGCCAAAAAGGGCAAAACCCACCCTTCCCACAGTGAAAAAACAAAATAAATTGTTTTAAATACATTAACAGAAAAAAGGTATCACACACTAATAGGCAGGCAACACTTTCCTTCTCTTCTCAAGACCACAACTCACCAATACACACATACTCAGACACATACATGAAGAGACAGACACACCCCTTTAGATCTGTAGATCTTTTAGTGTTTTGCTTTGTTGAGTGGTTTTTAGATTTTTATTTTTCCCATGGGGCTGGTTAGGATATTCCGGATAAACTGGGAGAGAATGAGAGTCAATTGGCTGAGCACTTACTCAGTTCCCCTGTTAAACTACTTTCCTCAGGGAGAATAAATGTACAAAATTAAAGAGTTTGTTGTTGTAACCAGAGCATTTAGGCATCCTTAAAAATACATACTATCTTTCCAGTACATGTAAAAAATTTCTCATTGCTCATATTACACTTAACAACTACCTACTGGGCAACAAAATTAGATAAGTAAAGTACTGTAAACTAATTCCATCTATAATAAACTAACTTTATCAACAGTTCTACACATGTACAATATCTCAGATTATAAAATTACTTTTAGCAATTAGCTGAAATAAAATGACAGTTCCTTAAGGATCAATGATTGAACCTTTGCTATTTAATGTTTTTATCAATGATTTGGATAAAGATACAGATATATTTATAATAATGCTTATCAAATTTTAAATGACATAGGACTGGGAGATATAACATATAACAGTTAAGATCCAGAAAGATCAACATTAAGCTAATTCTAAAAAGATGAAATAAACTTTTACATTTAGGTTCAAAAAATCACCTTCACTAATAGAGGATGGGAGTAATATGGCCAGAGAGTTATTTATATGAAAAATACCTGGAGATTTTGGTAGACCTCAAGCTAAATGAGTGAAGTACGTTAGCCAAAAAGGCTAATGTGATCTTAGGCTACATGTTAGGGAACAGGGAGATGAGCATCTTAATATATTCTGCCCCAGCCAAACTACAGAATTTCAGTGTTACAAGGAGTCTCAGGGGCCTCCTAGTCCAACCCAAACCTGAAAATCAATACACTAAACAACCCCAACAAGTGATCACCTAGTCTCTGCATGAAGCACTTCAGTGATGGGGACCTCACTACCTTCCAAAGCAACCCATTCCACTTTGATAATGTTCCATTTTGAGGATGTTCCTTCTTTACATCAAGTCTAAATGTGCCTCTTTGCAACTTCCATCCACTGTTCCTAGTTCTGATCTCTTAGGACAAACAGAATGAATCTAATCCCTCTACCACAGAATACCCTTTCAAGTACCTATAGACAAGTATCCATCATGCCCTGCCTTTAGTCTTCTTCTCCATCCTAAGTGTCTTCAATTCCTTCAACAAGTCCTTACACTGGAAGCCCTTCATCAATCAGGTAGCCCTCCTGAGGAAGAGCTGAAGGAACTGGCAATGGTTAGTCTGGAGAAGATTTAGAGGAGCATGACACCTTTCCTCCAGTATCTGAAGGACAATCACCTAGAAGATGAATTAGCCGACTTCTTCTTGGCCCCAGAATGCAGGACTAGGAACAATGCACAGAAGTCGAAATAAGGTAAATTCAAGCTAAACAATTAGAACTGTCCTAAAGTGGAACAGACTTTCTCAGGAAGTAATGGTTTCTCCTTCACTAGAGGTCTGTGTTTTGCTGTAAGGAGGATTCTCAGTCAGATTCAGGTGGATCAGATGGTCTATGGTCCCCTTCCAATTCCGTTTCTATGATGTTGTGTAATATACCCCATTACATGTCATCAATGACTTCAAATTTTAAACCCCAACACTCCTATAATTAAAAGCACATCAACACTAGAAAACATTATTTCCAAGTTTCCATGAGTCCAGGTTTATGCAGGAGAAGTCAGATGCAGGATCTGGATAAGAAATATCAGGTCTGATTTCCAAAACTCAGTCCTAACCCAGTGAACAAGGCAGCTACACCCTAGGTTCTATATGAGATTATGAGCTTCTTGTGGTCATAAACCATTGTATACAGCTTTGCATAAGTAATAATAACAATAACACTTAGTAACATTAATGTGACTTATTTTATTTATGTTTCCTATCTACATGGCAGAGACTAACACTAAGGGCTGAAAACAAATGAGTAAATGCATGTTCTATGAATGAATAAATGGCACTTTAAAGGTTTTCTAACACTCTCCTTCCAAGCTTTAAGAACAGCAACCACGTGGGAGGAGTAGTGCAAATGTGACATCCATCTTTTACACAATGAGAATACGGCAGCTAAATGGGTAAGTGATGTGGCCAGGCTCACATTCACTTCAAACATGTCAAATTTTGCCTTTGATGCCTGGCAAATATGTTAAGTGCTTAATAAATGCTTGTTGATTTGACTTTGATGCTTATTCTCCGTTTGACCCCATACATGCAGCACCAAATCTCCCTGGCCCTTAGCTTGACTAACTGTAAAATGGGAGGTGGGGATTGGACCTGGATGGTTTCTGAGGTCCCTTCCAGTTCCAGATCTATTGTTTTATTACAATAGTAACAGCTAATACTTACATAGCACTTAACTAGACGCCAAGCATTGGACTAAGTGCTTTACAATCATTATCTTATTTGATCCCCAAAACAACCCAGGAGGTAGGTGTTATTATGACCCCTTTTTTACAGATGAGGAAACTAAGGCAAATAAAGGTTAAGTGACTTGCCCAGGGTCACACTGCTAGTAAATGTCTGAGATGGAATTTGAACTCGGGTCTTCCTGACTCCAGGCCTGGTCTTTTGCTGCCCCAAATACGGGTCTGTTTTTATGAAGATAAGAAAATAGAAACGAAACAGCCACTGCCCTGGAGGAGCTCACACCGGACTGGGAAGGCATGGGGCTGGGGCCCCGCCCGAGGGTGGGGTGGGGGCGGGTCTCGGGTCCGACAGGCCAGGCCCGTCCGCACCGGCCGGCCCAGGCTCGGGCTGGGGGCACACTCGCCCCGCCCGGGGCTCCGAGCTCCTGAGAGCATCCCCCCTCCGGGGAGTCGGGGCGCCGGGTCTCCTCGCCGCTTCTGGGGCGGAGGAGGCCGGGGAGGGGAGAAATGTGGGAAATCGAAATAAAAAAAATAGATATGATTAGTTTTGAAAATGCACGCCGCACCGGCGCGTCTCAGGAGGGCGCAACCCAAACCCAACCCCTCCCCAAAGCGTCCCAACAGCCCTGAGGGTGGCAACGACCAGCACGAATATGACCATTTTACAGAGGAGGAAACTGAGTCCAGGAAAGGCGAAGCACCTTGCTCACGCGGTGACTGCGCTTGGCACTGTGGCTGGCACACAATGGGCGCTTAATAAATGCTCACCGAAGGATTGCAAGCAAGAGGCGGAAATCAGGTCTGGCTCACGGTCACTCCCAGGCGCTCTCCGGCAGCTGCGCCCGAAGGCCCGCACGGTGGGGGCGCGGCCCCTTTAAGCAAAGGGAGGGGGCGACGGAGAGCAGGCCCAGGCGCCCGGGAGGTGGGGGGGGAGTGCGCCCAGAGCTCGCGCGCCCGGGTTCTGCCCGCTGCCACGCCAGAACGCCACTGACCTGGTGCGGAGGGTGGCTGTGAGGGGTCCCCGCAGCGCCCGTCTCGCGGGGTCACTGCTACCGAGTCAGGAGCAAAGAGCCGCAGCCACGGCAACTTTTCCAAGCCCTTCAGAGATATCGTGCTTGCAGCTCCAGCGGCTCTGCGCATGCGTTACGTCTTTACGTCACACGCAGGGAGGCGAACGAAGGCGCGGCGCTCACGCTCTCTCTCCAGGAGCAAAGATGGCGCTGGGGCAGTCACGTGACCGCCAGCTACCCTCCACCTTTCTCCTTTGGGCAAGAGCTGCTCGGGCTGTGGTGCCAGGGATCCACCAGACTGTTCCCTCTCTGGGAGGACGTCTAAACAGAATTTCCTAAACCAGTATAACTGACATATATATAAAAATAAAAAGATTTATCATGCGCAAATATATTTTGTTGTTGTTCAGTCGCCTTGGCCTCTTCGTGACTTCATTTGCCGTGTTCTTGGCAAAGATAGTGCAGTGGTTTGCCTGAACAATAAGCACATATATAATTATTACTAAGGACCATCATTATTGTACATAAGCAACCTCTTTTTACATGTGTGAGCATACTAGAGGTGAAGCCCATTCCAAACTTCTTTTAAATATGGGCTTCTATTCCATAAAAGCAGGAGTTTTCCTTACAAATTGGAGCTCTAGGTCCTCTAGTCCCAGGACTTCACTTGCTTACGTGGATTTTATGTGTCTGTTGTACATATGGGAGCTTATGTTCCTAGATCTTTTAAATACTCTATATGACTATTACATATGGAGCACTCTGTGTTAAGTTAAATATAAATTCACTAAAATGAGAGAGGTTAAATGTATAATCGTTAAAGATAAGACTCACTGAGGGGCAGCTAGGTGGTGAAGTGGATAGAGCAACTGTCCTGGAGTCAGGAGGACCTGAGTTCAAATGAAGCCTCAGACCAAACACATGACACTTACTAGCTGTGTGAGCCTAGGCAAGTCACTTAACCCCAACTGCCTTACCAAAAAAAAAAAAGAAAAAAATAAGACTCACTGAAATGTGCAGTATTGTTTCTAGATCTCAACAAGAGGTAAATCCAATGGCTGGATAAGAAAACATTAATAATCTTAAGAAGTTAAAAGAATTCCTCCTATGTATTGAATGGATCTACTATAGAAGATTTACATAAAGACAGGTACAAGAATTGTCTAGGATGATGTTTTGGAGGGGTTAAGATTTTCTCATTTATGAAATGAGGAGGTTGGATTAGATGATATCAGAGGTCAATTCCTACCCTAAATGTATAGTTCCAAGATCTGTACTAGTAAAAGGATGACCCTCACCAATGCTGTAGCAGACTGTAGAATCAGATTTAGTTAGACAGAATCTTTAATGACATTTAGTCCAACCCTCTTATTTTATAGATAAGAACGCTAAGACCAAGTGAGTTACATGACATCCATGACAGTTGTCGTTTTTTTTTTTTTTTAGTTGTCTGGCTCTGTCCCCATTTGGGGTTTCTTGGTAAAGGTACTGGAGTGTTTTGCCATTTCCTTCTCCAGTTCATTTTACAGATGAAGAAACTGAGGCAAACAGGGTTAATTGACTTGCCCTGGGTCACACAGCCTGTAAATGTCTGAGGCCAGATTGGAATTCTGGAAGATGAGACTTCAACCTCAGCAATCTCTCCACTTCGACACCTAGCTGTCTGATGTCACAATAGATAGTAAATTACTTATACTCTTTCAACTGAACCATCAAGCATCTAATTATAAAGCTGAGAGGTAGCTGACCCCTAGGAAGATCTGCAACTGGGGCAAAATGGCTAGGCATTGTCCTAAATGCCAACATTGGAGTATAGTCGTCAGGCATGCTTCCTTCTTATTGTGGTACATATATTGACATGCCTGTGCCTCACCAATCTCTGCCAGTTCAAAGCCCTTTGGGGAATGTGAGCTCTAGGAGAAGAAGAGGGAGTATGGTTACCCACAGGTGGAAGTCAGGGAGGAAACAGATAACTATACACGATAGTCACTGTCTCTCCCAGGGTACACCTGCTTCTCTTCTGCCCTGCCAACCTCCCCAAGGACATAAGACAGACACTGTAGAGGATATGTGTTCTCCTGCTCCTCAACTGGGTTTTTCCCAGGGGCAGAGATTCCTAATTATGGCTTTGCTGACAGTAACAAGCAAAAAAAGTAAAATGTCAATTGTTATGAAAATATTATCCCTTAAAAAGAAAAAAAATTCATGCCATTTCAGTTTAAAGTTACCACTAAAAAAATTAACACTCATTTTACTGCAATCCATTTTCAAATTTTAAAACTTTAAATTAGCTTTATTATATGTTTATGACTCTCCCAGATGAATATTTTATTTATTTTGTTGTATTTATTTTTCTACTTATCATCCATCACACTTCTCATGGTAAGCTACAGAAACATTTATTATATAGTTACAGATTGATCACACATCTAAATCATAGGTATTAACCTGACAAAATGAAAAACAGATAGAGGAGGGTAAAATCTTGATGCGTTTACGTATTGTTTTTAACATACATATTCATCCTAATCCTAAGTAAATTTCAATACTGGAGATGTGGAAGAAAACTCAGGACTCATCACTAGCATTAAGATATCATGAGGACATCACGCATATCTTTTCTTTATTTATGAGTTCAGACAACTATACAAAGGAGAAATATATTTAAGTTAGAGAATTACCTATCACGACGCTAAGTGATATAGCAATAAATTTTCTGATGTTAGTTCCAGACAAATCTTAAAGTTCCATAATTAATTTTTATCACTGCCAAAAATATTCATTTAAGAAAAAATCTTAAAGGAAAAGTGTTTCTTCCAAGCACTTCAATACAACAGGTGTATGTCTAACTAGATGACCAGAAAAGAGAATGTTAACTTTTATATACATAATAATTTATTAATATTAGATTTAGATGGTAACAGATATATTGGACATAATACATTAATTGTTGAAATAAAAACTATAGCAAGACAGGGGGAGAAATAGGTGTGAACTCTACCTCTGAAAGAATCAGTGAGGCATGTAAGAGTTAGCAAAATGACAGATCCCTTTTCAGATATGACCACAGCTAGTGTCAATTTCTCATGCATTGCAAAGCAGCTTTCTTTGTTCTATAAATTTCTTATCATTTTAGCCACGATACTCAAATGTCAAAAAACAAGTAGATATCTTAAAGAAAACTCAAAAATTATCATCAAAATTATAATATTTTCTTTATAAATAATTAATGGAAATAAAACAATTTAAAATAATCCAAAAAGCAAATATAAATAAACTTAAAAGAACCCCTTTTAGTGACAGGTACTAAATATATTCCATCCCTTGAGCTTCATTTTGCTTTATCTTTTCTTTTCTTTTTTTCTTTTAATTACCAGGTCTCCTTTAGGGAGAGGTGATATAAATGATGGAGAATCAGCAGCCTTTACTACTTCCCAGAATAAAATTGTTACTCATTCTGAATAAATATGTCAATAACTATTTTAAAGACTAAATTAAATCTTAGTGTAAAGTAAAATATAAAATACATTCTCCAACAGCTTTTGTTTGCAGGTTCACATAGATGAATAATAAAATATACTTAGAAGCTGTATACAAGGCAAAAAGTTTATATATACTATTGGTGTTCACTCTTATCAAGAGTAGTCTATTTTCTTACTGATTGCAAATGAACAGATTCATTACTTCTTGCAATCTTTCTGAACCTGTTTCTTCATGTATCAAGTAGATTTTAAATTTCTCAATAAAGACAATGCAAATTTAGTTTAAATCTAGCTTAAAGAAAACAAAGAATATACAAACTATTTTCTTCTCTGTTTTTATTCAAGTCCCTGGTTCCTGAAATTCACTTCTTCCTCTCCTTGGCTTCTGAATTCTTCCTTCAAAGCTACCTTTACTCAATGAAGCCTTCTCTAATTGCCCATTTATTTATTTTTGTACATTATTCGTCCTCCTCTCTCCCTTCCTCTCCCCCTCCCCCAAACTGAAATCTCATTAAGGGCAGGGTCAGCTTCATTTTTCTTTGAATTCCCAGCTCATAATATAATGTGTTATACAGAGTAAGCACCTAATATTTGTTGAATACAATACTGAAGGAATACTTTTGATCATATACTTGCAAGTTGAATTATTGTAGAAATGTCTTCATTCTCAAGAATCCCTCTTGCCATAACTTAACAAAGGAAACTTTAAACATTTAGCACATATAGTTATAATAAACTCCAAGAACCAATTATTCCAGTAATCCAGACTTATATATGAAGCCAAGTATGAATGTAAGGGAAGGGGATAATGTAATGTCAGGCTAAACATAAGGCCAAAAGGTGTACTCAGGGATCGATATACCATCCTCCACAGTGTTCATGGGCTTATTCTGTTGTTAATTCTCTCTCTTCAAGTTATAGGACATCTAATGAGTATGCTCTGCAATGGATTCGGAAATTATCAAAAAAAATTATCAAACTTTCTCTCTAATTAACTTGAACTCCCATTTTTCTCCCATAATCTAGTTTTCCTCTTAATCTCATACTCCCTCAACAAAATCACTCTTAATGGCCATGTAGAATGCCATGCAAATTCCCTGGGACAGAGTGAAGTCATTAAATATTTTGACTTAGACACGTAAATCTTACAACTTTTTTAATATCTTTTAGAAACTTTTAATTTGCTGTACATCCTCCTTTTGCCGTAATCATTTTTCAGATCTTGATTTGACATTGAATTCACGAGATTTGGGCAGATACTCTTTAATTCTTCATTAAGAAAACACTTTTATCCCATTGACTTTTAAACATACCTTTGATAAACGATCCATTTTTCTAAGTATCTCCTTTATTCCAGTCCATCAATTTTGAATGGATTTTAC